AATAGGAAGAATTCTAGGGACTTCCCCGGAGGTCTAGGGTCACGATTTCTCCTTCTGAAGCAGAGGGTGTAAGTTTATCCCTGTTCAGGGAGCTATGATCCCGCAGGTCTCCCAGCCGAAAAACCGAAACATGAACAACAGCAGCAATATTGTAGCAAATTCAATAAAGACTAAAAATTGTCCACATCAAAAAAAAATCTTTACAGAATTGTATTTGCCTTAAACAAGCATTTCTGAGAAGGAATTTTCAGTAATTGAGGAGACCTAAGTTAAGCCAAATCTCACTTTGCTTTGATTTTTCAATTGATCACCTAGCATTTTATTTGATCCATATTTTAACTACATTTTATGCAGAGTGAAAGGCTAATTGATATTGCTTATTTTCCCTGTTCATCTTTTTCATGAGGAAAAGAGAAATATGGAAGGAAAAAGAGATATTTCTGGGAAGAGAGATGATTTGGGTTGGGGAGAGGGAAAGACTTGCTTGACCCTGAGATGAGCTCAGTCCTTTCACTCTGGAGCCCCTGACCTTGGGGCTGCCTCTCAGGTTTTCTGAGACAGGTTCCTGAGACTAGTCTTGCTTATTTTACACACACTCTAATCTCTTTATTGATGAAATCAATATGTCATGTGACAACAATACCTATTCCCAGGGCTCCTGTGAGAATCAAATGGGTGAATGTATGGAAACATGCATTGTAGTTGTGAAGTATCAGACCCAGTTTTGTTGGTATTTTGTTAGCAAACAGAGAAAGAAATTCTTGTCAATTAGCACCTCCACAATACAAAACATTTGAAAAACGAACTCAAAACCTGGGTTATTAACATATAAAAATTTTAAAACTTTTTATTTTATAACAGAAAATAGCCAATTAACAATGCTGTGATAGTTTTAAGGTCGCCCAAGATGGATGGATCACGGTAGAGACTTCTGACAAAATATGGTCCACTGAAGAAGGGAATGGCAAACCACTTCAGCATTCTTGCCTTGAGAAATGAACAGTATGAAAAGGCAAAAAGATAGGA